TCTGCGGTGATTACCAGTGGCCGCTTTTCCTAAATTTTAAACTGGCTATGGACTATTTGTAGGAAGGGGTTCAATTCACCCATTCGACCCAACCGGCTATTAGCACTGGTTAATTAGATAATTGTGGTAACTTCTATAATAACTGCTCTAATAATGTTTGTATCTATATAAAGATAAGGTGAAACGTGTCAAACACTTTTTTTAGAATAAGTTTTTGGAATGCACTCGATAAAAGACAATTCATTCAAGGTAATGAAGATATCTAACTTTAAAATAATGACTTAATTATGTATATCAATTCTTTGAGGGCATTTCACACGAGCAATATTGAATAATGTTGCCACATTTGACTTTTTTTCCAGGAACTTGGTGAGTTCCAAGGACACAAATAAAATTATTGCTGGTGGCCTGTGAATAAACTACAAATAAAAAATATTTCAGGCAATATTGTTTTTGCAGATACTTTAAAAAAATTGTGAGTGTCACTTTGTTTGAAAAAGCTCTCTATTCAGCATCAAATACTTGACTTGGTGGTCGCACTATAAATATGCACAAAAGTTCTTTTTAAAGCTCTATGGAAGGCTGAATATAGGTGGAATTATTAGAGGGTATCATTATTGAATTCGAAAAAATGTTTTTTTCACTATGTATCTGCACCAACTTTTCACCTACTTAACTCAAGCGACATGACAAACTGGCAAGGGCAATATTCAGCAGAATCCAACTGACCTGTAATACACAGAGCGAATTCGGTACTCTCCACAGAGTAATTGAAATGGGAATAGGGTTATCGTCTGCATTCCATTGCCAACGGAGGGGTGCTACAAGGTCTGTATTCAGTGTGGTGACTTCCAGGCTAGCCATGCAGCTTTACAGATATAAAGTCAGACATCCTGCTTTCCTGGGGAGTTCTGCAAATGCAGTAGGTGTGTTTTATGCACTTATTAAAAATATTTAGTCATATTCGGTACAGATGTCTTATAGCATGCTTGTAACATTGATGCAGTATGCAGTACACTGATAAACACTATCGTAAAACAACCATTTTTTATTTTTCTGGCTTTCTGGAAAGGACCCTGCTCACTGAGGCGCAAAGCCTGTCATAATACAGAAGCGAAAAAAAACTTTAAATTAAGAGCTGGTAGCCAAGCCGATAGTCTCGTTTATGTTGTGCGTAAGAGATAATTGTGTACTTTATACATTTTAATGGCTTGATGGCTCATCTGGGACTCATCACCGGTAACATAGCCAGGAAGGCAGGAGGAGCTGCTTAAATCTCCCCCCCCCCCGCCCTCCAGCACAGTCCAGGTATTTTTTATCCTAAAGCCATCGATTGTCCTTCTACAGTGACCGGTTCGTGACCGCCTAGTTCATCGATGTCTCAGCAGAAGGTGCTAGTGGGAGTGACAAGCAGACAGACTTATTCACGGTTACTGATAAAGCCCTCTGAATCTTTGCCCCACACATCATCATTCACTTCGTAGATATGCTGTGATTTTCTTAGTTCTGCATGTGCCTACCTATATGCACACATACAAACACACAAGAGTGTACATAAAGTATGACTAAAGTCGCCTTCCCCTCACACACCACCCCTGAGCAAAAAATATCTTTCTGCTAGGCAGCTGGCTCCACACTCTAGCGACATTTATTGTAGCGCACCTTTGTTGGCAATGAAATGCAGATGATAGTTCTTTCCAATTTCAATTGCTCTGCATCAAGCTTGCTGTGTGTACCCCAGGTCTGTGGAAGTCTGTTTAAGATTGCCCTTGGGAGTGCTTCATGCCATTTGAGTTAAGTAGGGGTAAAGCTGGTGGAGATACATAATTTCAAAAAAGTCATTCTCGAGTATAAAAAATAATACCCTTTAGTAAGTTCACCTATATTGAGGTAGTACATGGAGCTTCAAAATGAAATGTTGTGCATGTTTTTTGACCAACCACCAAGGCAAGCTTTTTGATGCTGAATACAGAGCTTTTCCCCAAAAAAAGTAAAATTCACGATTTTTTAAACTATCTGCTGAACTTCAGTGAGTGAGTAAAAACTTTATTGAACATGTCCGGCGTCATAGAGCGGGGTGGGCCTACAAGCACCCTTGCCTAGGTGACGGCCTCGAGTCCTTGGACCCGGGCCCTGGGCTTGCCGGACAGCCCACAGTTGATCGGCAAGGTCGTGGCTGAGCAAAGCTGCCTCCCATCGCGCCTCGCGGTTCGAGACTGCCATGTCTACCGGGTTCGTAGGGGACTGCTGCGCGTTACCGGTACACTTCCACAGCATGTGCTGCAGCGTCGCTCAGGCTCCGCACGCCTTACACGCGTCGGACATAAATGCCACAAAGACACAGTTTACGTGGACGCTGCCCGTTACGACTGCCACCGCGGCTTCGCGGTCGCGATCACGGATCATGTAGGAACTTGCGTCACGGGTGCGATGATAGGCACGGAAGAGACGGAGGCGGCAGAAGAAGCTGCCATAGCCCTCGCGATAGCCACCACGGACGCCGAGGGGATAATAGGCGACTCGCAGGCGGCGATACGCAACTACGCCAGCGGCCGGATCTCCCGCGAAGCGGCCCGCATTCTCCAAATTCACGAGCGCAACATCTGCCGCAAAAACGACAGTTTCCTCGTATGGACCCCCGCCCACACGGGCCCTCCGCTTGCGGGCAACACGACTGCCAACGCCACGGCTCGAGGACTTACACGCCGAGCTGCGACGCCTGCCGACAGTCCCGATGTCTCGCACACTTCGACAGCGATGCGAGAATGGACGTGGGGGGATCGCATGACCACTTTCAGAGACATCACGCAACACTACAGACTGCACAGATGCAAATATCCACCACCCCACGCCAAACTAAACAAGAAACAGCAGGTTGCCTGGAGACAACTACACGTACCCGAATCTGGTGATCCTTCGCCTCTGCTAAACTTCAGTGCGTCAGCATCAAAAAGGTCAGCATCACGTATTTTATTTGTGTCTTTGCAATTTGCCATGTTACCAAAAAAGTATTCCAAGACGTGGCAACATTATTCATCGTTGCTCACGGGAAAAGCTCTCGACAAATTGATATACTAAACTAAGTCATTATTTTTGGCTGGATCACTTCATTACCTAGCTGGAAATGCCATTTATTGAGAGCATTTCAAAACGGCTTTTGAAAGAAATTGTTGTTTGACGACGTTTAGCTCAGTCGACGCCATACTACAGACCCTCATAACTAGAGAGCAGAATTTTTGGCAACCGAATTAAATGACCAGGACAAGTTTCCGTCTTGAAGAAACATGTAAACTTTTTCCGCCCTACTCGTGATGGTAAAAAAAAACGCTGGGTGATTTTGCATGGCATAACCCTAATTGTTGTACTGTTTAATACACTGAATTACTCCTTTGCTTCTTTTACCTCAACTAATATTTTTAGCCAATATTTTGGTGTGTTTATTAAGTTGATTATGCTTCCAGCCATTTTATTCTGTATGATACATATTTTTATTTATTATCATTTATTTTTGTGCTGCAAGCCGGTGCCTCTAACAGGCCTATTAGGTGTCTTGAAATGAATAAATTAATTGTGGCCCCGCCGCGGTGGTCTAGTGTCTAAGGTACTCGGCTGCTGACCCACAGGTCGCGGGATCGAATCCCAGTTGCGGCGGCTTCACTTCCGATCGAGGCGGAAATGTTGTAGGCCCGTGTGCTCAGATTTGGTTGCACGTTAAAGAACCCCAGGTGATCGAAATTTCCGGAGCCCTTCACTACGGTGTCTCACATAATCATATGATGGTTTTGGGACGTTAAACCTCACATGTCAATCAATAAATTAACTGTGCTGGCACTGTTTTCTTCCTCTGTACTTGCCTGGTGTGGTTGTGCTGACAAAATATTTTTCCTGTTTTTCAGAAAAGAAGTCTGCACAATACTGTTATAATAGGGAAACAACATAGGTGCTTTGGGTATCTGGAAGTTATGATATTCTTTCTTTGTATTTTAAATTCCAGATACAAAGCCAACAAAATAAAATAAATTTGTTCACAATTTTTGTTCACACAATTTGTAGCATGTCTGTGCTGTATATCGTTTTATGATCATGGGAAAATAAAATTGGATTCAAGTGAATAGGAAACCCCTCTGCTGATTTTTAAACATTTGAATTCACTATGTAACTTTTTTAGCATGTGCAGGTGCCGTCTAAAGTTCCCAGGTGACGCTGCCACAGGATTAGTTGGAAAAGTGGCCTGGGAAATTTTGAATGACCTTGTACTTACAGAAGAAAGATTTGTTGACTACGTATACCTCATGTTGAATCTAATGGAGAAACATTTGTTATTTACGGACATGTAGCAATAGTATTATGAGAAGTGTGTGAGAGAAGGCCCTACGGAGCAAGTGTTGTTCCATAGCAGTACAGACATGTACCAATAGTATTATGAGAAATGAGTGAGAAATGTTCTACAGAGCAAGTGTTGTTCCATAGCAGCCGTTACTTTATTTCTTCATTACGAAGATCTCTGTGAAAGTTGAACGGACTGTGTGTTTCATGTGTTCTACATGATTTCTGGTGTACTATTTTTTTACGCAAGTGGCTGGCAGCATGTTACGTACGCCTTTTTACGTAATCAAGGAGAAATATATTTTGCAGTGTATATAAGAGATGTAATTAATTCAGGAGATGAGTGGCCAGAGTGGCTACCTGTATTAAATGAAATGGTCGTGCTGAAACGTTTTTAATCATATTACGCCAAGCAAATTGTGTTTGGCGTATTAAATGCTTTTTTGTACTTCTTGCGAAAGTGTTTGTATTAATTTGTGTACTGATGTACTTAACTCTGAGTAAAGGAAAAAAAGGCGCAGTGGCTTAATTGGTTAAAGCGCCTGTAAACAGGTGGTCGTGAGTTCGAATCTCACTGGTGCCTCGAGAGTCAAGACTAACGTCTCTTTATTTTTTTTTGAAATATAGTTCGAAACACTTCTAGTCGTGTCACTACCTGAAAATGACAATGCGCCGGCGCCGTGGCTTAGTTGGTAAAAGCGCCTGTCCAGTAAACAGAAGATCGTGAGTTAGAATCTCACAGGTGCCTGAAGAGTCAAGACTAACGTCTCTCTATATTTTGTTTTTGAAATAATGTTCGAAATTCTTCTAATGGTGTCACTGCCTGAAAGGGACGATACGCTGGCTCCGTGGCTTAGTTGATTGAAGCACTTGTCTAGTAATCATAAGGTCATTAGTTCAAATCTTACTGGAGCCTCGAGAGTCAAGACTAACGTTTCTCTATATTTTGTTTTTGAAATATAATTCAAAAAACTTTTAATGGCTTCACCGCCTGCACATGACGATGTGCCGGCGCGGTGGCTTAATTGGGTAAAGCGCCTGTCTTGTAAACAGTAGATCGTGGGTTTGAATCTCACCGGTGCCGAGAGAGTCAAGACTAATGTTTCTCTATTTCTGTTTTTGAAATATGGTTCAAAATACTTCGAGTGGTGTCACTGCTTGAGCACGATGCCGGCGCAGCAGCTTAGCTGGTTAAAGCGCCTTTCTAGTAAACAGGAGATCGTGAGTTCGAATCTCACCGGTGCCTCGAGAGTCAAGACAAACCTCTCTCTAGTTTTTTGTTTTCGAAGTTTAGTTCCAAATACTTCTGATGGTGTCACTGCCTGAACAAGACGCTGCGCAGGCGCCGTGGCTTAGTTAAAGCGCCTATCTAGTAAACAGGAGATAGTGAGTTTTAATCTCACCAGTGCCTCGAGAGTCAAGACTAACGTCTCTATATTTTTATTTTTGAAATATAGTTTGAAGTACTCCGAATGGTGTCACTGCCTCAACACGACGCCTGCGCCGGCGCCGTGGCTTAGTTGGTTAATACGCCTGTCTAGTAAATATGACATCGCTAGTTATAATCTTACCGGTGGCTCGAGAGAAAAGACTGACGTCTATCTCTACATTGTTTTTAAGACATAGTTCGAAGTACTTCAAATGTTGTCCCTGCCTGGACACAGCGCCCGCGCCGGTGCCGTGGCTTAGTTGGTTAAAGCGCCTGTCTAGTAAAGAGGAGATCTTGAGTTCGAATCTCCCGGTGGCTCCAGAGAAAAGACTGACGTCTATATGTATTTTGTTTTTAAGCGAGGTTAGACAGAATATATTTGTCGGCAAAGACAGTGCCACTACGCTCATCTTACGAAACTCAACATCTTCGCTTTAGCAATCATAGTCTGGTCAAGGTCAACATTGGCGAAAAACGTAAGGCTGTGAAGTTTGTTTGGTTTTTATGGAAAGTTAATGAAAAGCTGCTGCAAGATAAAATAATTGTCACAAAAACCCAAGAATGCCTTTAAAATGCTCTTCGTTTGGAGAACTATAACTTCATAGCTGTGTGGGAGCAAATTAAGTGTGTTATAATGATGGTTGTGATAGAGAGAGCCTGTCTATTACGTAATCGGGAAAGGCAACAAGAGAGGCAGTTACAAAGCGAACTGGACTACATGTTGAGCGCAGAAAATGAAGTGTCGGGAAAGTTTAAAAAAGAAATAAGGAGGCGAAAGCAAAGCTAGATTTCATCGAAGTAGATACGTACAGCGGAGCAATGATAAGAGCTCGCATGAACGGCTGTGGACGGGCGAAACGCCCACTAAGCGAGTGCTCAGTGAAGAAAAGAAACATGCAGCAAACAAAGAGATAACTTAAATTTGATACCACAATCACATTACCCGGGACCGCAAAAAGATAAGCCACGTCTTTGTTGAGCTTTATACGGAACATCTCAGCAATACAATTTAAATCACGAACGATACAAAGAAGACTTTTTGGCCCTTATGCCGAAATTGGTAGACTCTAAGCGGGAGCTACTAGAAGTAGAAATTACTGTAGCAGAAATTGAAGCAGCTATAGATAACCTGAGTAACGGCAAGTCACAAGGGCTGCATGGGCTGGGTTGTGTCATATACAAATATTTTAAGACAGAAATGGAACTGCCTTTACATCGAGTTATCAAAGAATGCTACAAGAAGCAAACACCTCATTCTTTCAGGACAGCACACTTAGTAATAATCCCCAAAACTTATGACCCCGCAAAGCTGCTTTCAGTGATCCTACCGACCTATCAGTTTGAGCAACACCGAATATAAAATATACATGAAGGTTCTAGCAAGACGGCTCCAAGGCGTTGTCACATCTCTTGTCGGCCCGCATCAGACATGTGGTATAAAGGGCAGAACCATATTCACATACACATAGCCAGAAGTATTTTAGAATGCTGTGACGCAAAGCATGGCCGCGTGGCCATGATTCAGATAGATCTGCATAAAGCGTTCGACAAAGTTGTACATGAAGTTTTGTTTTTATTGCTGGAACATATGAATGTAGGAACTGTCATTACCGAAGGTGTTAAAATGGTGTATCACAACTATATGGCCAATGTGGTAATCCACAAAGAAGTAAGTGCTCCAATTCTTCCGCGCTCGAGCGTGAAGCAAGGTTGTGCTTTGTCGCCACTCCTTTTTGCGCTTTACTTGGAGCCATTTTGTTTGCGATTACTTGCAACACCAAGTATGAGGAGGTATACGTTTCTCAGAAGTGAAATTAAAATTTTAGGTTATGCTGATGACGTTGCAGTGTTTTGCAGTGGCAAAGAAAGTGCGCAAGAAGTTGTACAAATAGCTAGGGAATTTTGTGCAGCAACGCGTAGTGCAAATAGTTGGCCAAAATGTCTGGGCTTTTGGCAAGGTGAGTTGCAAAGCACACCCGAAGTTTATTGTAACACGAATTGGAAAATCATGCCAGGAAAGTACCTCGGTGTGCCTTTGGATCATTACCGCAATGCTACAGGGTATTAGTCTGAGCAAAATAAACGCATTAGAAATTGTGCTGATAAGTGGGGTGGCCGCAATTTTGCTATGTTCACCGGAGCGTCCGTGTGCAACGTAATTTTGGTTGCAAAAGTGTTCTATGTATTAGAGGTGTTAACCCTGACCCGTACTTCAGTCCAAAAAATGCACCGAGTATTCGCGACCTCTATATGGGGATCGCAGTGGGAGTGCACGAGCTGGTGCAGTTTATTTCGTACGCTAAAATATGGTGGTCTGGGCCTTTTACATTTGTTTTTCAAGCAGTTGGTGTGCAGATTCATATTTGCTCGTAATAAGACTGACAATTTCTTTATAACAGTGATACAAGCAAGACTGCAGAACCCCTCACCTGATTTTATCATGTCATCCTTTTCTTTCGAAGATGGACTACTGAGCCCTTATTTGCGAAAAGTAGTTACGGCTACATGCCTGCTCAAGGAAAGGTTTTCGTATGAATACTTGTTCGGCGTGCCTAAAAAGAAACTGTATCGTGGCCTTCTTGATGTCTACTTACCAGTGCCGGTCTATCGAGCTCCGTGAAGGCTAGGTTCTGAGCATAACGTGCTAAAGCGTGTTAAAAGCATGCTGGTCAGACCCGCTGTCAAAACATTCTTCTTTCAAGTGCATACCGGCACTCTCCCTGTACTGCCCTGGCTGAAAAGTAAAGGGCTTTTTGTACCGCGGTCTGTCAACTATCTAATCTGCGGCAAACCAGAAACGATAAATCATATCTTTCTTGATTACCATGATGCTGTTTTCTTGAGGGACGTACTACAACGGACTCCAAAAAAGATCTACATATGAATGCTTTCGGAATCCGTTTTCTTCCGTGTGCAGCTGCAGGGGAAGTGCCTATTGACATGTTAATGATGCTTTGCATGCATAGTGTGTGGAAGACAAGAATGGATGTTCGACATAATCGTATAGACGCTCATTCAGCAACAGACTATTTTGTTGAGAGTATGCTGTATACAAGAGACTTGTTTATGTCGCAGCCTGAACCCCCTGAATGGTTACCTGTACTGAACCAATTGGCTTCTGTGAAGCCTTTTTAAACCAAGTACACTGGCCAAGCTGATGCTGGTGTTTTAATAAGTGTATATATTTTGTGTATAATCATTTTGCTTGAAGTTATTTAAAAGCAATAAAGAAAAAAAAGCTCCGTGGCTTAGTTGGTCAAGGCGCCCGTCTACTAAACAGGAGATCGTGAGTTCAATTCTCACCGGTGCCTCGAGAGTAAAGACTAACGTGGGATCAACACGAGCTCGGCGGTCAAGCGTTCGCTGGAGCAATCTGCGGGCACTGCTCACAAGAGCAAAGTTGAGGGACCACCAGCGAAGGCGACACCGGCACGGCGCTCGGGCCTCAGAGCGAAGTCTAATCTACCTGGGGACCGACCGGTTGGCACTCCAAGGGACCAGCAGCTAACTGATGCGGGACCACCGGATGGCCCCGGAGACGTCTAGCAGGGAGCTAGACATAAATGGTAAGCACCATGCTCCGGGCCTACCCCCTCCTTTTTTTAGCGAGTAACGATGGTTAGTCACTGGGCATTGAGCTTTGCAACCTTAAATGTCCGAGGTTTGGCCTCCAGGAAAAAGCAGGCTCAAGTGTATCGCCTGTTAATTGACCAAGATATTGACGTGTTAGCCGTGCAGGAAACAAAAGTGGGAGGTGAAGAGGAGACCCGGAGCATGGTGCTGCGGTTTACGTCTAAATATTAAGCCATAGTTAGTCACGCAAATCGAACTTCGGCCGGTTGTGTTCTTTTTGGTAAAAAGATTCCGGCATTGATTGTTGAAAGTCACTTTTCTTGTGACTCTGGTAGAACAGTGACTTGTGATTTTAGTACTAGCGAAATTGAAAGGCGCGTCATTTGTGTCTATGCGCCGAACGTGGAGGCAGACCGAGAAACTTTCTTTACGTTAATGAAGCAACATTTACGGACACCAAAACAGCTTGTTTTATTGGGGGATTTCAATTGTGTATTGAGCGCGAAGGATAGAATTAATAACCGCCATGTGCGAGACAGAAGCGTAAAAGTGCTCTATGACTTTCTGAATGAATCTGACCTTGATGATGTTGCGGAGTGCCTCGAAGCAGGGCGCGAAGTTCGATTTACGCATTTTCAGGGAACCAGTCACGCACGTCTTGATAGAATATACATGGCAGGGAAGACGCTAGCTAAAAGCAATAGTTACACAGTCTTACCTGTCTCTTTCTCTGACCATTGCCCTGTACAATGTAACGTGGGACTTAAACAAAAAGAAAACCAATTTAGTTGGGATTTATAGAAGTTTAACGCTAAACTACTTCGGCATGACATTTTTAATAATTTTGTGATTGAGGGAATTAGGAACTATAAAGGGATCGGAGCCGGCAATGTTGAACAGGAATGGGAGCTTTTGAAGCAAAGTGTTAAAATGAAAGACATATCGAGATCTAGTACTTTAAAACATCAAGAAAGAATGAAAGAAAATGAACTCAAAACAACGCTTAAGAAATTGATAGCATTAGATAGCAAGGAGCCCGGTGCATATATGGAAGATATTCGAACGGTGAAACGACAAATTCAGCTAGTAGAGCAGGAACGCTACAGAGGAGCCCTTATTCGAGCGAAAGCAGAGGCGTGGGCTATGGGGGAGACTCCTACCAAGCGCACGCTTGGAATCGAGAAATCACGAGCGCGTCGTTATCACATCGACGAAATAGAAGAAAATGGAATTCTCCTAAATACTAACAGCACTGTCGCTGAAGCTTTCTTTCGGTATTACAAGGGTCTCTTCGCAGCCGTGTTAGTAGTTGTTACGAAGTTCAAGGACACTTTCTTGGGCCGGATGCCGCAATTATCCCTCGAAACGAAAGAAGCCTTAGAGAGGCCTATAACCGTTTCTGAAATTGAATATGCAATAGATAATCTCGCAACTGGGAAGTCACCGCGGCCTCACGATCTTGGTGCGATGTGGTATAAAGCTTTTAAAACAGAAGTTTCACCAGTGTTACAAGCTGTCTTCAAGGAAGCCTACGCAATCAAACCATTACCATCTTCATTTGCCGAGACGCACACCATTCTAATACCTAAGACGTTTTACGAAGCAAATATAAAACTCGTTTTGTCATATAGGCCCATTTCGCTAACCAACACTGACTGCAAAATACTCATGAAAATATTTGCAGGTAGATTGCATTCTGTAATCACCCGAATAGTTGGGGAGCACCAAACGTGTGGCATCAAGGGGCGCTCATTATTGATGAACACACACACAATGCTATGTGTCCTTGAGAGTTGCGATGCTTTTAATTTTCATGTTGTGATCCTCCAGCTTGATTTAGAAAAGTCTTTTGACTGCGTCCCGCAAGATGTGCTATTCTCCATACTTGAACATGTCAATGACGGATCGGTGATTACAGAGGGCATAGTTTTGGCGTATAAGAACTCTACTACGCGACTAATTATTAACAAGGTCCCGGGGTCTTCCATTAGGCTGGAATGTTCTGTACGCCAAGGCTGTTCGGCAAGTCCACTCTTGTTTGCATTGTACATGAAGAGCTTGTGCTTGGCCATAACAGAAAATGAAACTATCCGTGGTTTCAGACTGCTTAACGCCGAGGTAAAGGTTTTGGCATACGCTGATGATGTAGCAGTGTGTTGCACCACCAAAGAAAGTGTACAAGAGACAGTTGCCGTTGTTAAAAATTTCGGAGAAATTACAGGTAGTCGGGTTAATCGGGGAAAGTGTCTGGGATTGTGGCACAGAGACTGAACATCGACCCCAGATACCTATGCTAACGTTCACTGGTTTGATACTCCAGTGAAATATCGATAGGAGTGCCTTTCCAGCGCTACAAAAACACTAATGACTACTGAACTGTACAAATAAAAGAAACGCGCGAAAGTACAGTGCAGTGGAACGGCAACTGTCACTCAATGTTTGCCAGAACCACTGTATGCAACTTATTTTTAATGAGCAAAATATGGTATCTGATGCAGCTTTTGTGTTGCTCACGGATGCATGCGCAAAAGCTGCATAGGATATTTTCTGTGTTTATTTGGGGGTCTACTTCCAAAAAATGTAGTAGGACAAATTTGTTCCGAAGAGTAAAACAGGGGGGACTAAGCCTGGCGCATCTGTTCGTGCGACAACTAGTTGATCGTTTTATTTTTTTTCGAGATGTTCAACACCCATTCTTAAGAACAGTATGCCAGTTACGCCTTTGTCGTGTTCTGCCTAACTTTGTGGTTAGCACTGCAAGCATGCCCGGAGCTACGCGAGGTTTCTTTAAGGAAGTTCCGGACAGTGTCCGGTTCTTGTAAGTTTGGTTTTCCAATGAATACCTTTTTTGAATCGGGCAAATGAAATTGCATAAAGACGTATGCAATATCATTTTTCCAGTTCCTATGTATGGGTAATTAAAGCGGGGGAGAAGGCAATGATGTTTTTAGGCGTGTGAAGAAAATGAAAAATCAGCCTAGTGCAAAAAGCTTTTTCTTTAAATTAAACTCTGGAACGCTACTGGTTAAGACTTTTTTTTAGAAGATAGAGGACTTTATATGCCATGGGGCTCGAACTGTATGATCTTCCGAAAGCCGGAGACAATAGATCACGCTCTTTGCATTGTTGGATAGGGGTTTATTTCTGGGATGTTTTACAGAGAATCATCATTTTCACTGGTATAGCGCACTGCGACAAAGACACACACAAAGGAGAGATGCACACACACACAGCGCTAACTTGCAACTAATGTTTTATTTGCGATCACACGCGCTGTTTATACAACAGTGAACCGATAAAACCTGGATAATGTCACGTCAAGAATACAGCACAGCCCATGCACGTGTCATCACCGATAGCGACAATCTACATTAGCACCGTCAAAGTGAAGATTCTTGATACTTCTTTTCTTTAGATGATAATGCTATGGAAGCCACACTCACACATTTTTCTTTCATTTTGTCTATTTCAAAAGCTTCATTATTTCACGTGTGGTTCTGTCACGGGCCTTAAAGAGTATACGGGTGTTTTGGAACATAGGGACGCAACCGCACCTCTGACAGTGAAGGGCCAAATGACCACATACAGCTCTTTCTACATTCTACTTGTGTTCCATTAGTCTTTCATTTACACACCTTCCAGATTGGCCTATGTATTCGTGACCGCAAGTCAAAGGAGGGCTATAGACAACACCACAACAACAATTCACAAATTTTTCCCGGTGCTTAATCTTACAAACCTGTTTCCCGCTACTTTCTGCATTGACCGTTTTGCACATCCCTCGCAACTTTTCGGGAGCAGAAAACACTACATCCGCACCCGCCTTCCTTGCTATCCTTCGCAAGTTATGCGAAATGGCATGCATGTAAGGCACTACAGCAACCTTGCTTGCCTTAGTGGCGGTTGCCTGGTCTCTGACGTTTGCCCTTCCTTTCCTGCTTATACATTCAGAGACAGCGGTCAACAAGTGCAAGGGGTAGCCAGAGTTCAAGAAACGTTTTGCTTGAGCCCACAAGCTCTCATCAAGCTTGTGGTGGCACGACTTTATCAGTGAATTCTGAAAACAGGATTTTATCACAACACGCTTTACCCATTTCGAGTGAGCGGACGTGAACGGAAGAACCAGTTTATTCCCTTGCGGTTCATAGCTCCAGCATACTCTTGCTGGCGAAAAATACAGCCCGAGGTCAAGGAATCTTATGAAATCAACATTTTGTACTTCATGCGTCAGCACCAAGGGAGATAACACTGTCAAGAACATGGTTAGAGTTTCAGTCAAAACTGCGTCGAAATTGTTATGATCATTTTTGTAACGATGAGATAGTCATCTACAAACTAAGAAAACAGCAATAACGTCAGTATGCTTCATACGTTCGTCAAGGACTTTGTTACGTTTTGCACGTTACACGTGCATGGGCTGTGCTGTATTCTTGACGTGACATTATCCTAATTTTATCGGTCTACTGTTGTATAAACAGCGTGTGAGATCGCAAATAAAACATTAGTTGCAAGTTAGCCCTGCGTGTGTGTGCATCTCTCCTTTGTGTGTGTCCTTGTCGTAGTGCGCTATACCAGTGAAAATTATGAATCTCAACCAACTAGCCCGGCAACGTGCCTTAGCAAAGTTCATTTCTTGTACATCGGGCATTCCATTATGGTACAGCACCGACCCATGCCGAATCATCCCGCTGATCGTGACGGCAGCCTGCAGAGCTCGGACACTTGGGTTCTACATCCG